GGGGGGGGGGGGGGGGGGGGGGAGAGAGCAGGCAGGGCGTTCATGGTCCTGACCGATCGTCTTCACTGCCTTCTTGTTTGTGCAGCCCCCCAACTTGGCACCTTTCCTCCTCGTTCCCCAGTTGCCCCCCAGGCTGATCCCTTGTTGCCCCGAGAGTCTCTTTCCCCATTTGAGCTGGGGAAGCTAAGCAGGGTCAGATGTGGCTGGGGCTTGCATGGGAGACGACCTGCGCTCGGGGCTCAGCTGGGAAGCCCAGGAAGTAGGAAGGGCCAAAGCCCCCTCGATCTCCGTGCTGAGAAAACCACCAGGGCCCATCTGTGGAGCCCCCCCCCCCCCCCCCCCAGTGCCCTCTTGATGCCCAGGAGCTCAACTCCCATAGTTCCCGGCCAGCCTGTTTAGAAGCTGCCTCCCTGCCCTGATCTGCCAGGTCTTGTGGCTTCTGGGGCTTCAGAAAACTGGAGAGAAAACTCGGAGAGACTCTGCGGTTCACATTTTTATTAAAATCCCATTTGGCTCCGTGAAGATTATTTTCAAGTTTGAGGGCTTGAGGGCCCCTGCCTGGATTGGGAGGGTTTGAATTTGAGCACCATCAAATGCTGGCTGGGGGTGTGTGGGGGGGTGGGTGGCAAAGGGCAGAGGTGCTGGGACAGAAGGCGCCCGTAGGATGCCAGGAGCCCAAAGCCACCCTCTCTGGACGGGCACTGAGTGGTGGGCACAGCCAGGCCCCCCCTGCTGGCAACGGAAGGAGGGAGTCAAAGGAGGGCCTCCTGCTTGCATGCACACACTCACACAACACAAATGACTTAAAGAGGACTAGCGTCCTTCGAGGGACTAGCGTCCTTTGCTGCTTGGCTGCAAAAGTCCAGAGGTGCCTGCTGGGACTGAGTCCTTGGGACGCTTGCAGAAACAGACCCCCCTGGCTGGGAACAGCCCAGCTGCTGACAGAGAGACGCTCTTCTTCGAAAGAACCGTTGTCCGCTCTGCTCCGGCTTTTCTGCTGGGCAGCCCCTGCGGTGGCCGGTCTCCCTGCTGGGCTGCAGCCGCCTGCTACGGCATCTCCCTGTGCCTGTCAGGGACTCCGGCAGCAGCCTTGGCACCCGGAAACCAAGGGAAGCCAGGGGAGGGGGAGGCTCAGGTCCTCGGGAGGCCAGGTGTGGGACGGAAGGGTGCCCGATCCCTCAAGGGTCCATTTGGCAGAATCCGGGTGGTGGGAGACGGGCGCCCACATTTGCCCTTCAGGGGAGTCTCCAGGGGGCAGCCGTGCTCCGCCAGAGTCCCAACCGCCAGGAGACGCGGCCGCCTTGATGAGCAGGAAGCAGCCGCCAATGTGGCCCAGAAGAGCAGCAGCAAAGGGGTCTGCAGATGGAGGGGAGGGGGGGGAGGGGAAGTGCCCCCCCACCTGCCCTCGGGCAAAACGGACACCGGCACAGAGCAGAGAGATTCGGCTGAGGAGAAACCATCTTGGTGACTAGCAAGATTGCAAAGCTACGGAGGAAACACAGACAGAGGACCCGGGTCAAACAGATCGGACCCTCGGGGGGGGGGGGGAAGTGGTGACCAGCTGAGACCCTCCTGAATTTCCTTCTGCCCCCCCCCCCCCCAGAAAGCAGCCTCTGGCAACACCCCTGCAAGCGTCTTCGGAAGCCAGGGAAGGCTTTAGCCCTTCGGCTGCCCCCCCCCTACGCTCGGCAGATGGCCACAATAGATCAAGACCCTCTTCTCAGCCCCCCCCCAAGGGAGACCTGCTCACCTCTGGCCTCCCGGCCGGTGTTCACCTCTTGCGCAGCCTGGCCATGAAGCAGCAGGTGACCGAGACCAGGATGGAGACCCCCAGGAGGAGGGCGCTGGAGATGCCGACCGCCAGAGGGATGAGCAGGGTGTCCATGGCTGAGGAAACAAGGGCAGGAAGGGCATCAGCCCTCAAAGGGGGGGAGGGGGGCAGAGGCTGCCTCTTCCCACAGGGGAGGGGTCGAGGGGAGGCGGGGCCCCAGGCGGGGGAGGACTCGGGGCCGAAACGGCCTGGCTCTACTCACCCAGGGGATACGGGTACACAGTGACCACGTTGGACTTTGCCGAAGCCGCCTGGTACCAGCTGCGGTCAGGGGAGCGCACCCAGGCAGTCACGGCGCAATAGTAGCCCCCTTCATCGGACGGCTGGACCGCGTGCAGGCGCAAACGGTGGCTCTGGGGCCCCACTTTATCCACGCTCAGGGCCCCTCCGGACGGCGTCTTCTCCAGCTGCGCCACCCCCTCGCGGTCCACGGAGGCCAGGAGGACCCCGAGCGGGGAGGAGTCCGGCTGGGGCAGCTCTGCCCACCAGCTGAGGGCCAGGTGGACGTCCTGAGCCGATTCCACGGAGACGTTGCACCGGAGGTCGGCTGTGCTGCCGCGGTGGAGGGTGGGCCAGGGCAGCCATGCGACGGCCCCCAGCACCACCGCTGTGGGGAGAAGGAGGCAGCCTGAGGAGGGGGCGGGAAGGAGCCCCCCCCACCGGCACAAGAGCTCAGCATTCCTAAAAGGCTGAGAATTTCAGCTGGGAAAGAGGCAGGTTTAAGAGATTGATGGCATTAATTATCGTGGATGTAATTATGGGATGGCAGGCAGCGCTGAGGAGATGAATGGCGTGTGGGGAACCTTTCCGCCTTCTGATTCCCTCAGTCAAGGCAGGTAAAGACCCCTTTCCTACCTCAGCTAGGAGGGCTGTTTTCTTTCACTGGAATCCAGGAAACAGGGAACAAAATGCAGAAGCCGAGACAGATCCATGCTAATCCCCTGAATCTGAGTGGGGGGTGGAGTGGGGGGGGGGGTCTCCTGCTTGGCCCAGAGTGCTTCTAAAACCCTTTTGAGGGGCCACAAGGCCCAAACAGCAGCAATACCTAAGTAGGGAGTTCTTTACGTGGCACACAAACAGGAATCCTTGCAAAGAGAGACTTGCTAGAAACCACACAAACTAAATTCCTGCGAGCCATCTTAGCCGCACCCAAAGGAACCCCAAATGCCCGGTTAGGAATTGAGACAGGCCTGCCTCCAATTCAGGTAAGAGCCTGGGAGATGATGACCATTCCTTGGCTTAAAATGGATTTCTTTCCAGAGGGACTGTCCCCACTAGTGTTGACGGACAATTTCCCCTCCCTCTGGGAACAGGCAATTGATCACAAGCTGGGATCTCACCGTTACTCTCAATGTCCCTGGTCTTTGACCAAGCAAAGCAAGTAGTAATTAATGGAATGAGGGACGTGGAGTTCCAGGAAGAACTAAACAGGTTGCCTCTCCACAGCAGGGACAGAACCAAACAGGGAGTGTGGGAAGAGATCTAAATGACCTCATCTTCCCAAAACAAAGAATAGCTTTCTTCAGAGCCAGATTTAACGTTCTCCCTTCAGTATTCCTCCAGGGCAGGTATAAGAGAACACCTCTAGCAGAACAGGTTTGTATATGTGGTAAAGGAGAAGTGGAAGATAACGCAAATGTTCTGTTACACTGCGAGCTATACAGAGCTTGTAGGTCTGCATATATTCTCCCCTTATTAGAGAAATTGCCAGGAAGGGCAGACCATTTATACCTAGGCTTCCTCCTCCAGGACACTAACCCGGTTACCACGTCTGCAGTGGCAAAGTTCTGTGCGGCTGCAATGTCCATAAGAAAAAAATTGGTTACAGAGGTATAGTGGTCATCTGGTACCAATTATCTGGACATACCTTTAACAATCTTTGGACCATTGTGTTATTATCTACTTTTAATGTCAATACTTTT